AAAAAATACACCAAATAAACAAAAAACGTACAACAAAACACCACAAACACGTACACAACCATGGCTGATGGTGCCTGGACAACAGTCCAATATGGCAGAAAGCGCCACAACAAATACAGGGGGGGGCAGCATGGCTGGGGTACCCCTAGGAGGATGGACAGTGCACCACCCTTCCCCTCTAGCAGGGGATGGGGTACAGTCCCCTATTCTAACAGCTGGGAGCAGAAGCGCTTGTCGACCGGCGTGGAGAAATGCGCGTCTGATGTGAACAGACTTGCGTGACAATTTCAGTGCACTGCACTTCACAGCACTTTGTTGGCAGTGTGGCCCTGGTGTTACACCACCTGTTCCACAAGTCGACCGACCACCCCCCACCCCCCCAGTGACCTGCTATAATATGGACAACACCACGAAGTGACTGTATAATGTCATCACTCACCTTTAACCTCAGTCAGTGGTTACATATATAACTCCTGTTCTCTGCATACACTCAGACCATCAATGACACAAAAACAGGAAACAGTTTAAATTGACTTTTAATTCATTTGAACATCAAACAAAATTCATATTTATCAAAAAAAAAAAACTGTACAAACACACAAAGATAAAATCAGCAGGAAGTGAGGACAAGCATGCTGTCTTCATCTTCAGGACATCTTCTGGAAGACAAACACCAGGTAGATACCTGGACAGCAGGCAGGAGGACAGACAAAGACACAGAGCACACACAGACATAGGACAGAAGGAGGACAGGCAGACAGAGAAGAGACAGACAAAGAACAGACAGACAACAGAAAGAAGACAAATAGACAGACAGAGGACGGACGGACGGACGGACGGACGGACGGACGGACAGACAGACAGACAGACAGAAACCAGAGAGAGAACGGAAAAAGGACAGACAGACAAACAGACAGACAACAGAGAGAGAAAGGACAGAGTCAGACAGACAGACAGACAGACAGACAGAGAAAAAACAGAACAGATAGAGAAGAGACAGACACACGGACAAACGGACAGAGACAGGACAGAGAGACAGACAAACATACGGAAGATAGCAGACAGACAGAAAGAGAGGACAAACACACAGACAGAGAAAACACAGAAAACAGAGACAGATAGAGAGGACAGACAGAGGACAGGCAGACAAAAGATAGAAGACAGACAGAGACAGACAGGGAGACAGAGGACAGAGAGAGAATGAAAAGAGGACACACAGACAGACAGACAGACAGACAAAGAATGGGGACAGACAGACAAAGAGAAGACAGACAGAGATACACAGAGACAGAGACAAACAGAGAGAGAGACAGACAGAGATTTATCATGACCAGAAATATTTAAAGTCACTGATTAAAACTCTATTTAACATCTAAATGTTTTAGTTTATTTTCTGTTAACAATGAAAAACTTTTAACCAAACGATTTATCTGAAACAGTGAAGTTGCCGTAAATATTTATCTGTAACAGTGACGGTAACGTTAAGAAACTTACTGGCTGCTTCCCACTCAGATCTGCTCAGAGTGCCCTGCAAACAGACAAACAAACAAACACTGTTAAACAAAACATAACCGAACCAGCAGGAACCTGAGTCAGACTGTGTGATGTTAGAAGCATTAGAGCCAGGGAGTCAGGATTATCGGGTTAGGGATCAGGATTATCAGGTTAGGGGTCAGGGGGTCAGGGGTTAGGTTGGACCCACCAGTGGTAGTCTGACATCAGCTCTGCTGCACAACTCTTTGGCATGTTCGTACTCTCCTCTGCTGTCTGTCGCCAGTCGACCTCCATCCTCACACGGGAAGGGCTGAAACATACATCCACATGGGTCAACAAACATTAATGACACAGGTCAACACATGATGAGTACACGGCTCAACACGTAATGACCACACAGGTCAACACGTGATGAGTACACTGGTCAACACATGATGAGTACACTGGTCAACACGTGATGACTACACAGCTCAACACGTGATGACCACACGGATCAACACGTGATGAGTACACGGCTCAACACGTGATGAGTACACGGATCAACACGTGATGAGCACACGGGTCAACACGTGATGACTACACGGGAAATACATGTTACCAACAACAGAAGTGTATTTTAACAACACAGTCAAAACATGTAGTACATACTTATTCACACAGAAAATTCATGTTACCTACATATGAGCAATAATCTGGTGTAAATAAATTAAATCGGTCTCTTAAACAACAACAACAACAAGGTATTCATCTGAACCAACATTACATTTGTCTTTATTGTGTTTACATCAACTAATGAACAATAAACACCACAACAAGAACATGTGACATGTGACGGGACTAAAGGCTCAGTGACCTGATGAAGTTTTACCTCCAGAGCCATCATCTTCATCATCAGGCTGCGATGATGCTCCTTCTTCACCTTCTCCTCAAAGTACTCAGAGAACCTCCTCTTCATCACCAGACGCATGTTGTAACGTCTCGCCATCCTGAGGAGGAAGAGGAGGAGGAGGAGGAGGAGGAGCAGGTGGAGAAGATAAGAGAAGAGAAGAGAAGAGAGGCATTACAGTAGAACCAGTAAAGTATGATCCATGTTAACACATGATGACGATGTCATCTCCCCGTGACGTATTAATACTAATAATAAACTCTTACTGTTGGAACAGGGGAAAATAGACAAGTGACTCTGGAACATCGACAACGTCGTGGAGGCTGAAGTGATACTGACAGCCAAACAGAGGGTAGGAACCTTTGGACTGGAAGGACACTTTAAAAACCTCATTACCAAACGACAGAGAGTCCGACGCCTCCAGGCGTTTCCTGTCCAGGAAGAGGAGCAGAAGAACAACAAGAAGGCACTTCATTACTCTGATCAGGGTCACCTTCTCCACAGATTCACACATCAGTCAGTTTGTTTTGTCTATTTTTAAATACCATGGTCATCAATTCATTTCTATTTCTGTATATCGCAACAATTTTAATATTGTTATCCTTACCTACCCAGGGACTACGGGTGGAAATTAGCAAAGCTGCTATAACCTGGCTCAAGACATCTTTTCTTGTTTCTACAAGATTGTTTATTTATGCATTGTCCCTGTTTTAAATAAATAAATTTCAAATTCCAATTCCAACATTAAACACCATCAACTTCCTGTCAAGACCTTTATTCTTACACAAGTTCGAAGGCATCTGGCGTCGTTCCGATAAAGTAACCTCCTGGTTTCAGACGCTCGCATGCATTTCTCAGCATCATGTCAGCCTTCTGTTCACTCTCAAACGAGTAGTGATACACAAACTGACAGCTGCAGATGTCAAACATCAGCTCAGGGTCGTCCAGCTTCTCCGACAGCACCTCCTGAAACACGTCAAACAGTTCAAGTCACGTTCCCAACAGTTCGAGTCACAATTCTAACAGTTTGAGTCACAATTCAGAGTTCAAGTCACAATTCATAAGAGTTACAGTTACGCTTCTTGGAGTTCAAGTCACTATTCAAAGACTTCAAGTCATGATTCAAAGAGTTCGAATCACAACTCAAAAGAGTTCCAGTCATATTTCTAGGAGTTTCAGTCACAATTCTAAGAGTTCAAGTCACCTTTCTCAACCCGGAAATGGTTAAAAGAGTCAGACAGGAAACTACGGAAAACCACAGGGAACAAAAACATCTCAACACTGATTTTCATATAACTGATTTGAACTGATTTAACTGGATTTAACTGATCTTGACCAATTTTAACTGCTTTTACCCATTTAACTGATTTTAACTAATTTAATTGATTTTAACCGAGTTTACTGGCTCTGACTGATTTTAACTGACTGTAACTGATTTCAACTGATTTTCCTAGATCTAAATGATTGTAAATAATTTAACTGATTTTACCAAATCTAACTGATCTACACTGATTTAACTAGATTCACCTGGTTTAAACTGTTTTAACTGATTTTGACTGATCTAAACAGATTTTACTGGATTTAACTAATTTTAACTGATTTAAGTGATGTTTCACCAATCGAACTGAATAACTGATTTAACTAAATTAAACCGATTTTAACTGATTTACCTGCATCTAACAGATTTTCACTGCCTTTAACTGATTTTACTAGATTTGACTGATTTAAACTGACTTCCATTCATTTCACTAGATTTAACTAATTTAACTAATTTTACTAGATTTAACTTATTTTATCTAATTAAACTGACTTAACTGATTTTACTGGATTTGACTGATTAAAACTGATTTTAATGATTTCACACAAACACATCTAACTGATTAAGTGGGATCTAACTGATTTTAACTGAATTGATTTAAACTGATTTCAACAGATCTTACTGAATTGAACTCCCCCAGGACGCCGACGTCCTCACTCCCCCCCCCCTCCTCTGTTAAATGGTATCTCCCAGGCGCACTACGTCATCAAACCATGTGATGTTTGGTACTGACAGATTCAGGAAGCTCTCGACTTTTCAAAAATAACATCGTTTTTCTTTTATTTATTATGTACTTCGCACCAGAACAGCCTAAACACACAAAGTCCAAAATCGCAATGAGTGGTGACAAGTCATGTCATGCCGTTTTTCGACAGGAAAAGTTAAAGGATTACTCGCAATCTTATGTGGACCGGCAATGGGGACTTAGATCGTTTATAAAAGGTAAGAGTCTCACTCCTACCACTATTTTTGGCTGAGATATACTGTCTAGTGAGATCATAACTTTCACATTTCATATGCAGTATTTCCTCTACATTTTTTTAGGAGTGACGGGCTGCCATTCCTAAATCCTAGCCGCCGCTCCTTCAAATTTATTTATTTATTTTTTTTTATTGTCACAAATACACCACCGCCGCATGTCTCCACCTTCACAGCAGAGTCCTGCACTGGGGTAAACTACAGATAACTATCTTGCTCAGTATCTACTCTTTGGCGACGTTAATTACTCGCGAGACTGCGGCCTTGAAAGTGACATCACGTCAAGCACCCAGGCACCAGGTCAGAGAGTCAGAGGAGTGTCGTATTGGAAAATAGGGCAGCAACTTAACAGAGACAAGGTAGATTTATTAGCTTAAGATAACTCATAATAGATTTTACAACTTAAACAGACATTTGCAAAATATTGATGGCCAGCTAATGTTACATAACATATCGGTAGCTTAAGTTAATTGGGCCCGGTGCCAACTCAGTGTCGCTAACATGAGTAAACTAACTGATAGCATTAAGCTAATATCTACATGCCATGATGTAACTGCTGACTGCATTTTCAGATGAGCTTGTTCAAATATTTTTCGAAGAACAGAAAGACACCTGATGAAGATGATGCTAGTCAGGTATCATTAGCTTTTTACTGACTCATAAATGATGATGGTTAGGTCAAACATTGTGTTCACACTTGTAATCACATGTGATGTGAGTGTAAATTATCAAACGTAAATGTTTTATGTAATCATATAAGACAAATAACATTAGACAGGGAGAAACAGTGGAACAAAGTGAAGGAGGGCAGAGTACAGCAGGGGGAGAGCCGAGTGAAGGAGCAGGAGAGCAAAGTGATGGTGCAGGAGACAGAGAGATGAGAGTAGGCTGGCTGACGTGCTGACGTATTGCGGTAAGCGAGTTGTGTCATTTCCGGTGTTTCTATGACAACATCTCTGTACTGCTCTGGTAAATTCTACAAGCCTGCTTTCTCACTTCACTTGCTTTAACGTCTACTTCAAGTCTTAACCCACACTAGTTCTGTTTAAACACTTATAGCTCTCCTCCTTTCTACGACTTTCTCACTAATCTCTTAGCTGTTGTTTGCACGTTACTAGCCTTGGTAGCTACATTAGCTCAACAGTTAGCGATGGCTTCTGCTTCTCCTGCTCTTTCTTGCTCGGTGTGCCAAATATTCAGTTATGCCTCTGCCTCCTTTAGCGACAGTGATAATTGTAATAAGTGTAATAAGCTTATTTGCTGCATTGGAGGCGAGGCTTAGTGAATTAGAAGCGCGGCTCTGCACCATGGAAAACCATTCAGTAACTGCAGTAGTTAGCCAGCCCCCTGTAGCCAGTGCGGAGCCACATAGCATAGCCTTAGCCTCTGCTAGCTGTCCGCCGGTAACTCCCGTTCAGCCAGGAGATTGGGTTACGGTTCGCCAGAGGCACAGGTCCAAGCCAAAACCCATGGCTCACCACCAGCCTGTTCACGTTTCCAACCGCTTTTCCCCACTCAGCGACACACCCGCTGAGGATAAAACTCTGGTTACTGGCAGCTCTATTCTGAGGAACGTGAAGCGGCCATAGTCAAATGTATCCCTGGGGCCAGAGTGGGCGACACTGAATCAAATCTAAAACTGCTGGCTAAAGCTAGACGTAGATTCAGTAAGACTGTTATTCACGTCGGCGGCAATGACACACGGTTAGGCCAATCGGAGGTCGCTAAAATTAATATTGCCTCGGTGTGTGAATATGCAAAAACGATGTCGGACTCCGTAGTTTTCTCTGGACCCCTCCCAAATCTGACCAGTGATGACATGTTTAGCCGCATGTCATCATTTAGTCGCTGGCTGTCCAGGTGGTGTCCAGCAAACGATGTAGGTTTCGTTAATAATTGGCAAACTTTCTGGGGAAAACCTGGTCTTATTAGGAGAGACGGCATTCATCCCACTTTGGATGGAGCTGCTCTCGTTTCTAGGAACCTGGAAAATTTTATTAGTAATTTAAATCCCTAACAGCCCAGAGTTGAGACCAGGACAGAGAGTCGCAGTCCGATACGCTTCTCTGAGCTTCTAGTTCAGTTACCCAGCCATAGTTTCCATAGTTTTATACAAACGGTGTCTGTCCCCTGACCACCTACATTATTTAAATCTAAAATTAAACAAAGAGGAGTTGTGCATAACAACTTCATAAAAATTAAAACCTCTTCTGTGACAGAAAAACAAAACAGGAGAATTAAATGCGGACTGTTAAATATCAGGTCTCTTTCGTCTAAAGCAGTGTTAGTAAACAAATTAATATCAGATAATCATATTGATTTACTCAGTCTCACTGAAACCTGGCTGTGTCCAGATGAATATGTTAGTCTAAATGAGTCCACTCCTCCCAGTCATAATAATACCCACATTCCTCGAGGCAGCGGCCGAGGAGGGGGAGTTGCAGCCATTTTTAACTCTAGTCTGTTAATCAGCCCTAAACCTAAACTAGATTATAATTCATTTGAAAGCCTCGTTCTTA